GGATTACAAACTGGAGTATTTTACATTAATAATTCAATTAACATCTTGGTGATTTAATTCCATACACTGGCGTAAAACACATGGCTAATGGTAGAATTAACAGTAAAGCATTGAATCAATGCTTTTCTTTGGGCATTTGCTTGACTGACGCTGGACAGCCACTAGAGGTAGTCTTTCTCTGAAACTGCAATATTTTAAATTGCAGGGATATGGGGGACTGGGACATTGCACACAGAACACTTCAATAGATGAACTGGTCTGGGTGCCTACAGTGTCCCTTGAAGGGGTTAAGATACAGGAGACATCAAGAAGGCAAATCTAAAAAAAAAAAAAAATCATGGCAGGACCACTATAAGTGTATATAATATGTATCATATACTGATTCACTAACATTTTTAAAAGTAATTAAAAATAAAAATGTGTGTGTGTGTATATACAGTGATAAATCTGAAAAACAAGTCCAACTAGGTATTAGTTTGTGAAATACATGTTTACCTATGTTAATAACACAGGTGTTTGGATTTGTGTCCTGTCAAAAGAAACATTACTTTACTGAAATACTAAATGTTCCATTTTCAAGACTGAACTACAGGACAGAACTAGCTGCAGTGTTGTCTAGCTCAGAATTTTCCATGATTCATATTTTTCATAGATATGAAAAATAGATAAATGTTGTGATTTTCTTGTGGCTGTAAGCCTTGCTTGCCCACCATCCTTAGCAGAAAATGAATAATGGATTGCACTGCATAGTATTTAGCTGAATCCTCTGTGGAGGCAAACAGTGTTTTGCTTTCTACTCATGCTGCAATATGTTAACATGATACTCATTGCATTCCATATTTTATGGTAGTCCATGAGATTTACTGCATCTGCTTACAGTTTTGTTGCCAACAACAATGCATCTCCTGCCTACCTTAACCCCTTAAGGACCAAACTTCTGGAATAAAAGGGAATCATGACATGTCACACATGTCATGTGTCCTTAAGGGGTTAAATAACATATATCACTTACAATAGGATAATAAAATCTTGAGGAATTCTGTCCAGAGTTAACTAAACTACGTAATTTAGATATTACGTGAAAGATGCTAAAATATTATGCAACTTTTAGGTCACTAAAAGTAGGGAAGGGATGATCTATTGCTAATAATTTGATGAGTGTCTGTATTTCCCCATATAATTTTAGGTCAAATGAATGAGGGCCACTCATAATGAACATCATTCACTAGTTGTGTTCCTGCAATCCCTGTATTGGGTTGGGGATATTCTTTCACTGACACTGATGAAGGATCTGTCATATATTTATTATATATATTTATTGTAATAAATATTTTTTAATATATAGTGGCCATGTTAACAATTTACAGTTTGATAGTGATCTACATGCCAATAAAATGTTTACTATCTCAAAGTGATAACAATCTCACCATGTTTTGTTTGTCATTACTTTTTGTATTATTGGCCCTACAATAAATGGCCCCTACAATAAATAAATCACAATCACTGCAGACCATGTGTATCCACACACTACTGGGACAAGTGTCACTTTTAAAATTCAGCAGCCAAAAAAACTTCACCAAATGTCACCAACAATGTTCTGAGTGATCAATTAAAGAAAACAAAGTACAAATAAGCACCAAAAAGTAGCAAAAAATTAATAATATAAACAACAAATACTCATATGCATTATAACCAAAATGTTAATTTTGAACATACACAATTAAACACACAATGCAGCACTTAGCTGATTGTCTTCGTGAGCCTCAGCTAACCACTCACAGCCAAAGTTCTGCATTGCAACATAGTACCTTCTTAGAAACTTGTAACTCTCGTGTGATGATAATGGAGCTATGGAATGGTACCCAGCAGATATATGATTTAAATGAACATGTTCTGCTGATATCAAATTTTAAATTTAATTTTATATTTGATATTAAATGTTACATAAAATAACATATTCAGAAGTAGCTTATTAATTAGGATGGGTTGCTATGATGCTCTGAAGGGTTTCCTCGGCACTGTTTACGTTATACATTTTGAATATATTCCATGCTTTTGTCTTTTGTACCGAATAATTTATTAATTCATGAAATAATATAGTATTTGGGGAGAAAAATATCCATATCTCCATTCATAGGCTGTTCATTCTCATAATTTATTTCAATGTATAGATCGGCCCTATTTCAAACTAATTGTAAAGAGAAACATACTTTGTTGTATATTTGGAATACTGCTCAGATGAATGCTGGAGCAGTATTTTCCCTTTTATTTTATCTGTATTGTAAATTCCCATATCTGTGTTTAGCTGAGTCTTGTGCCTATTTCATTCTTCCAAGGCACTGCAGTTATATGGTGCTTTATAGCAGTGCAGCAAATTTTGTTTTTGATGTTCACCAACAGATCATTTTTTTACAACTTCACTTTACAACAGCGGTAATTGAGAAGCGTGAATGATTTATTATGTAAGATGAAGGCAAAGAGCCTAATACACTGAATACAGGGATCCTAGAATATAGCAGATAAAAAAAAATACAAAAAAATGTAATATATATATATATATATTTTCTCTACAGTATATTCAGGGTATATATAAACTAATATAAACTAATATTACATCTATATCAATGCAGATATACTGCTGTTTCTTTGTAGCACAGTAAAAGCAGTACCCAGTTGTGTAATGCTGAATCACCAAGTTAACCTTTCTGATATGTTTTCATTCGGATTCTCACAACACACTGCTGTATGTTTTCTTAACTTCTATTCTAGAGTCCCTGCTTTCCCTGCAAAGTCAATCACATCTGGTAATTGTTCACTTGTTTTGGCTGTTTTTTTTTTTTGTTTTTTTTTTAACACTTAAAGAAACACTATAGTGTAAGGTGCACACACAGGGCACTATACCTGACTCTATAGTGTTAAACTAACTATTTAGGTCTCCTGCCCCATTGCATCACTTTAAAAAGGTGTTTTTAATCACCTTTTCTCCCACACTGCAACGGTCTTGGTGCGGCTGGGTCCGCCTTCATGTCTGAGACCATCAGACTCGATGATCCTCAGCCAATCCATTGCTTTCCCATAGGAAAACATTGAGAGGCCATTGTGAGTGCGCAGCAAAACACCACACTGCACCAATCAGCACCAATCAGCATTTCCTTATTGGGAAAGTTCAGTGTCTCCATGCAGAGCATGGAGACGCTGGACATCAGTTCTGCGTATTGTGCAGCACTGACATAGGAAGCACCTTTAGTGACTGAGTGACTGCCACTAGAGGTGAAACTAGCCAGCAATGTAAACACTGCCTTTTCTTCAAAAACTGCACGGACAGGCTGTAGACATCAGAACCACTGTATTAATCTGTAGTTGTTCTGGTGACTATAGTCCTTGTAAGTGTTCCTTTAAGTTTAAACTATGTGTTTCAAAAACACAATCTTGGCAACTAGTAGATATGGCTAAAGACAAATCCATTATTATTGTATTTATTAATTTATTTTATATGGATAGTGGAAGGCAGTGTTTCCTAGTCCTGTCCTCAAAGCAAACCAACAGTCCAAAATGAATGCATTTCCCTAATTCTATTGGAACGTCGGTGTCTGAGTTAGAACCGACTGGTTTACATGGATGGAACCCTGACAATGCATGCTGGAGAAGACAGGTGTATTAAATGCACTTTTAATATCTTTTATCAACATGTTAGATGAGCAAACATGAAATAAGACCTATTACATGAAAAAAGTCAGTATAAAACATGAACATTATTGTGTGTGAATTTAGTTTTTATTTGTTGTTTTAAGAAAGGCAGACAGTGGATCTACAATGATATATATAGAGAAACAATTTTATAATGTGTTCTTGTTTTTTATTTTTTATTGCATTTTTTTTTTGTAATATGAAGATCTATATTAAATAATTTGAACAATATGTGTAATCATATTTCCTAGCTGATGGATGGAACAGATGCCTGTAGGAAACAGGATGATTGCCCTGGTAGCACAGTCCTTCCCTAATTTTTTACAAGAAAAAGAAAAAAAGAGGACCAAACACTCTATTTAATACCTGGAGGGTTAACACCACTTCTTCTATCAAGCATTTGTATGTTGTAAAATTTCCAAATTTACTTGAGAACATAAAAGATTTAGACGCCTGGTATAAACCACACTTTTGCTGGCTTGGTAGGGCTAGCATAATTGCTGTGAACATCCTCCCACGTCTTCAATACTTACTTAACACTCTGCCAATTTCCATTTCCATGCCACAGAAATTTGTTTAAAACACTGCAAATTATACTAACACCTTTTATGTGTGTCAGGAAAAGACAAATTATCATCCATCACACTGGCCACACCAAAGGATAGAGGAGGAGTGGGACTTCCAAACATATTGCATTATCATATATATACACACCACATATGCATCCAGGTGTAATAAGTGAGATATAATACAAATATATACAAGACTACTTAAATTCAAATCAGAAACTGCTTCTCAGGGGGCCTTCCAAACTAGCACCCCTTAAATGACAAAATATGGGAATATACAGAAAATGGGATACAGCTGTATATCTGCAAAGAAATTTAACACATTGTGATGTACTGTAATGTACAAATTATCACTTTACTACTGATTGCACTCACAAGACATCGGAGTATAAAGTGCCTTGAATCAATCATTTAGTGACTTATAGCTGTTATTATGACCACCTACTTTGTATCCGGGAGTCACTGGTCTATTATTGCATCAAGAAGATGCTAGAACCCTTATAAGTCTTTCGAAGAGGAGCTGTGTAAGATACAACTTTGTATCATCACGAAAGTGGTATGGGTGGTCTAAAAATGAGGTTTATAGGGGGGCGGAGCCTGACCGTGAAGCTGAACAGACTATCTGTGAGCTCCCGAGCCTGGAACCAGCAAAAATCGTGGGCAAATCACTTAATCTTGAACCCCAATTTACCTCATCTCGCAATATAGAGGCTGGTGAACTGGGGGACACCTCGCATGTTCAGAATGCTCGCTGGGTTACCGGACTCGAGGCTTGGGGCCTACACTACGCAGAGCAGGGGAGAGGCAGCTGCTCTCCCGACCCACCAATGCATGCAACACCCCTTAGGCCCAGCTGGGGTTATGCTGGTACCAATTATCTCAACCCGTATATCTCCACGGACTTCAAATGATGGCACCAGACCAAACTATGCAACAAATCAGCAGGCCGCTAGCTACTTTAAAATGGCAGATGTGCAGCCCAAAGGAGACTATGCGCCACTGGAGTACCAATACAGCACTAACGAACCTCTAAGCACCCATTTGAACAAGCTGCTCGAAAACGTCTGGGCAAGGGTGGAAGCTCTACATGCTGCTGTACAGACACAGATGACGGTGAGCTAGAGCACAAAGGGAAAATGGAAAAGCGACAGTTGGAGAGGGGCCGGGAAACCCTTGGGCATCAACTCAACGACACAGACCGCGTCTCTCCACATGAGCTCATCTGGGCCTGCCCCGATGCATCTCCCACATAGGCGGACTTCTACGCACCAAAGGCGGCGAAACATCACCAAAGCCCCCAGACCTGTCCCAACAGGGAAGGACCCGGTCTTTATAAGTCCCAGAGTCCGTGGGGATGTAATGTCGGCCTTACCACAGGCCCAGAGCTGGAGGGTAGAACCGGCATGCCCCTGGCTGTCTGCCAACATCTACTATTACCCAATGCCGCCAGCACAGCTTCCGCCAGGAGGAATAGGGTGACCTGTCGCTACACGGGCGGACTTCCCCCCCACATCCACCAAAGGACGCTACACAGTCACACAAGGATGCTGGCTATATACATACTAATGCGGAACTCCTTTCTTTTTCCTTTTTCCATGCATATGTACAATTATAGTACACTTGACCTGCCTACTCAGCTGACTATAACCGAAGTTACCACAATCAGCCATTACATCTCGTAGACCAGGCTGTCTAGGTATAAGCTACCACCTATACCACTGTCTTACACAGCAGGAAAAGCTTAACGTTAACCCAAATAGGAATAGCATTCAGTATAATAGTGACTCCTAGCCTACACCCTATCACATGTACTATGTAGCGTCACCTACCGACACCACTTCACCACCGCTATATAACTCACCTTTAGTCCTTCAGCAATAGAGGTTATGCATGATCACACAATCTGTATCTAAGAGCTAGGCATCCCTGAAGAGCCTGCAACACTAGCTTAATTTACCTTCTGCTAAAGTAAACTTACACAGCTACCTAGCTCGATATCTCTACCCTATAGCAAACTGGTGCAGTACCATCAAAGTGCCACATAACACTAAATCCTTGAATGTATAGCTACATAAGATTTGCATCTGTTGTCATCTCCACATGAAATGCACGTGTATTGTTAATCCATACAATTTTATTTCATTTTCTGTTTCTTTTTTTTTTTTTTATCTTTCCTGCACTGGGCTATACATGTCTATTCTTAATTCACGTCATGAGCAGACAGCATACTAACTCAGTCTATCAGTATGTCGAATGCTTGTTTAACTCTTAACATGTTTCCTATCCTGATCATCATCATCAAAAAAAAAAAAAATGTGCAATGTTTCTCAATGCCATACCAATGTTAACGTATGTCTACATATTTGCTTGCACCAGCTATTGTGGCAGTGCAAACATGGTTGTTCATACTATGCACAAATAAAATAAAGAATTGGGAAAAAAAAATGAGGTTTATAAAGAAATACCTAAACTGTCAGCAAAGTAACGCTGGCAGTTTACATAACCAGCCTCTCTTCCTGGAAATGTAGCCAGGTGAAAAGACATCAATATGCCTCATCAATATGTCTTGGCATGCACACACAGTAAAAATATTTCAAGCGTTTTTACAAATAATCTTTCAAGGCTATTTTAAAAACATCTATCTCTTCTCCACAATATACAATTTGGGATACTGGAGTTATATACTTCTGATACTGTAAACTCTGTTAAAAATTGATTGTGTAGTGAACATATGTTTTAAGAAAACAATCCAAAACTATAAAATACTTCAGCTTATATTTATTTATTTATAAAATATTTTACCAGGAAAGATACATTGAGATTTCTTTTGTTTTCAAGTATGTCCTAGGTCCACAAATCATTGCATTATTACATTAGGTACAACAAAATACAAAAACAATATTAATACACAATATATACAAAATTTAACATAGAACAGGCAGGAAATATATAATCAACCATGACATGTGCATTCTGTTTTGAGGTATGTAGAGAGGGATCTCTTAAATGACTTTAGGCTTAGGGAAGATTTTAAATTGTGCGGGAGGTCGTTCCACAATTGCGGTGCTCTGTAGGAGAAGGAGGATCGGGCCGCTTTCTTTTTGTATTGAGGTAGACTAAGTAAAGTGCTTGTACTGGATCGGAGCTTATAGAAAGTGGGAACAGCTGGGGAAAGCATTTTGTTCAGGTAGGGTGGGAGTTTCCCAGAAAAGCTCTTAAAAACAAGGCTGGAAAGATGAAGGGTGCGTCTGGATTCCAGCGATAGCCAGTTTAGTTCCTTTAGCATGTCACAATGATGGGTCCTGTAATTACATTGTAGCACAAATCGGCAGAACGAGTTATACAATGTGTTGAGTTTATTAATGTGGGATTGCGATGCAGACGCATATACTACATCCCCATAATCAATGATTGGCATCAGCATTTGCTGTACAATCTTTTCCTTTACTGTAGGGCTTAGGCAGGTTTTGTTTCTGTATAGGGCACCTAATTTTGGATAAAGTTTAGATGCAAGCTTTTCTATGTGCAGGCCAAAAGATAGATTGGGGTCTAACATCATACCCAAGTATTTGAAAGAGTGGACTGCGGTCAGTGTGCCATTTGAATTTGTTTTGATGGATAGGTGGGAATTATGTAATTTAGGTACTGTTCCAAAGATCATTGTGACAGTTTTGTCAGTGTTCAGGAAGAGTTTGTTTTTTGCGATCCACTTTTCTACCTCTGTGCTTTAACCCCTTAAGGACCGAGGACGGTTCAGAACCGTAATCAGCATTTTCCCAATGCCGACCGCTGACGGTCCTGAACCGACCTAACGGTCCTAGTTACTTACCTGATCGCCATCGTTCCCCCGGCGGCGATCAGCATTGCTCCCGGTGTGGGGAGACTGCCTGCAGCCCAGACAGTCTCCCCATGGTGGATTAGGACCCCTGTGGCCATGTGAACGCTCAACACAGCGATCACATGGTCACAATAGGTGTCCATGTGTCTGCCTGCAGGGGGACTGCCTGTGCTGACAGGCATTCTCCCTGCATGTGTAAAATCCAAAAAAAAAATTAGGTTAATGTTAATAAAAAAAAAAATTATATAAGTGTATATATATATGATATATATATCATAAACAAATATGAATACCGCACTCAAAAAATTGCAATGAAACTTATTGCTAATCCTGCATTCAATTTCAAAATATTTATTGTAATGGTTTTAGATAAATTCATAAAGATAATAGTATTTCATCATGGTAACACTCATTTCATCCTATATACATAAACTATTTACATATATATATATATATATATATATACACACACAGAATCCTCCCTCGTCCATGATAAAGTTCATAATCTATATATCTATATCCAGTAGGTAATGATCCAAAAAATAGAAAAAATAGAAAAAATGAAATGAAAAAATAGAAAAAATCCAACCAAAAAAAGGGAAAAAAGAAAAAGAAAAGAAAAAAAGAAGAAAAAATAATTATAAAAAAGTAATACAGTCCTGATAGATAGCAGTCCAAAATATAGTGCACTATATGGTTCACTGTTTATGGGTGGATCTCACCAATGTAGAAGTTGCTTTTGGATATACACAGTAGGAGGATGCTGAAGTCTGCAGATGATAATGTGATAGAAGGGGATGAAAACGATTCCTGTTTAGTGAAGAAACGATCATATCATCAACTCTCTGTATGATCTGGTCAGTATAGCAGGTCGCTGGGCAATCCTTTAAGTGGGCTGCGAGCTCGGGACGTTCATGTCCCTTCGATGGCCCCTGTTCTCTCCGTCCAGAACCCGAGCGCGCAGCCCACTTAAAGGATTGCCCAGCGACCTGCTATACTGACCAGATCAAACAGAGAGTTGATGATATGATCGTTTCTTCACTAAACAGGAATCGTTTTCATCCCCTTCTATCACATTATCATCGGCAGACTTCAGCATCCTCCTACTGTGTATATCCAAAAGCAACTTCTACATTGGTGAGATCCACCCATAAACAGTGAACCATATAGTGCACTATATTTTGGACTGCTATCTATCAGGACTGTATTACTTTTTTATAATTATTTTTTCTTCTTTTTTTCTTTTCTTTTTCTTTTTTCCCTTTTTTCGGTTGGATTTTTTCTATTTTTTCATTTCATTTTTTCAATTTTTTCTATTTTTTGGATCATTACCTACTGTATATAGATATATAGATTATGAACTTTATCATGGACGAGGGAGGATTCTGTGTGTATATATATATATATGTAAATAGTTTATGTATATAGGATGAAATGAGTGTTACCATGATGAAATACTATTATCTTTATGAATTTATCTAAAACCATTACAATAAATATTTTGAAATTGAATGCAGGATTAGCAATAAGTTTCAATGCAATTTTTTGAGTGGGGTATTCATATTTGTTTATGATTGAGATTAGGAGGTTGTTGTGGGGTTAAACCTCGAATACCTGCACCGTACGTAATTGAGTGCCAGCACATATTGTGTTTTTGTATATATGATATATAGACATATATTATATCGATATAATATATGTCTATATATCATAGATATATAATGTCATACTAAGTGTATTTGTATATTAATATGTACATATATTAATATAAAAATACACTTATAATTAAATTACACACGTATATATATAATATATATATATAATAACTATATATATTGTGTATATATATATTATTATAAAATATAAATAATAAGTAATTTAAATTAAATAAAAAAATTTAAAAATAATAATAAAAATTGGAAAAAATATATATATCTATATGAAATTTTATTCTAACTGTATTTTAAAATTAATATATATATATATATATTTATATCAAAATACACTTAGAATGAATTTGTATATATATCTATGTATATATAAATAAATAAAAATAATACAAAATATACATATATCCATAAACAAAATTACATAAATAATTATATAAATATACATGTAGACTTAAAATATATAAATATGCATATATATTTAAATTCTATGTGCGTATTTATGTAATATTTTTACATAATTAAATAATTTTATTGATTGCAATTTGAGGGACCTGCCTGCCAACCCAGGTCGAAAGTCCAGAGAATTTAATTTGTTAGCACTGTAT